GTTACCTGAGCCGAAGGCAGCTGCTTAACGACTGAGCCACCCAGGCGCCCGAGCACTGGGTGTTGTATGTCAGTGATGAATCACTACTAAATTCTACTCCTGAAACCAATATTACACAATATGTTAACTAACTAGAATTTAACTAAAAACTTGAAACAAACAAAAAAGAAACACAATAAATAAGCAAAAGAAAAAAAAGAGAGAAAGGCAAACCAAGAAACGGACTGTTAACTGTAGAGAACAAACTGATGGTTACCAAAGGGGAGGTGAGTGGGTGGATGGCGGAAATATAGGATGGGGATTAAAGAGTACACTTATTATGATGAAATAAATAAAGTGACAACAAAGTAAAATAAATTAAAAAGGTGGGGCCAGAGATGGCAGTACCTTTTAAGAAGTGTTTTAAAATTTGTGAATTTGACACAGTGTTGAATAGGCTGATAGTTTGCAAAGACACATGCTGACTCATGCAATGTTCCCCAAGTTACACCCTTACATCTTTTATTCTCATGTTGGTAATTAGCCTGGAGTGTCTCTACGCCATGAATGTTTGAGTTTATGTCACTTCTGTGAGCCTTCCCTGTGGAATCAATTGCTCCTTCTTTAGTATTTCCACTTACGCATTCTGGCCTATATTCTAGTATTAGTATATATACTTGTCTGTCCCTAATGTAGATGTATGTTCCAAGGTAGGAAGTTTTGCCCCAATTTTTACCACTTATTCCTGGTAGCAACTAGCATTATGTTGTATACATGATAAACACTAGGTAACTATTTGTTGGAGGAATAAACATAAAGGGACATCACACCATCAACTGGATAAAATCACATTGAAGTCATATGAGGTTCTGATTGGAAGTGATTCTCTTGTCATTCTACTCATGAAGTGATATTTAGTATGCCCGTAGATATAGATGGTGCTATGCTGACTTGCTGAATCTAATTAGTATATCAGTTCCGTTTTAATTTTGTGAGGTGCATCCAAGATATATCTTAACCCATAATTGGAATTAAATTCTCATAACATTTTATTAAGAAGCATATCAAACTCACATCTCATTTTAAATGAGAGAGCTTCATGATCTTGCAAGTGGACTTGCTCAGAGCTCTCCGAAATCTTGGTAGAAGTATGGAAGAGGGCATTCCAGTATTGGTGTAGGACAACTCAGAAATGTGAAAGTTTTCATTTTGAACTAATTTCATGTGTCTTATATGTAATGCTGAGGTTTTGAGGAACCCAAATGTAAGAATAATCTGAAAAGGAAAAAGTAATTTAATTTAGATTTTTTCCACCTAAATGCTCCTCCATTTATCAACATTAATGTATCCTCTGTCATCTCTATTTACTGATAGTAGAGTTCCAGAAGATAGAATATAAATTATTTCCGTAAATCCATTGACTTTTACCTTCACTGAACTTCAGCTCTCTGATGACATAAAGCCATCTATTCTCAGTGATGCCTCTCCATCAGCAAAACCATACATCATCTGAAATTATACCTCATCATTCTGAGTTATGCTTCACCATTTGGGGTTATGCTACTTCTACAATGGTAAACTCTGGAACATAATGATAGCTATAATTCATCAAGTGGATACTATATTGGAGACCCTGACCTAAATACTTTACACGTATTCACTTATGGATTCTCAAAAACAATTCTATTTACCCCAGTCCCACAGTTAGTGAGGCAGAGCTAAGATTTAGCCCCTGAAAGTCTGGCTTCGGGACATGTGTATATTGCCTGTCAATGAAATATGCTCATTTGATTTAAATTTCCCTGACTACGACTTCTCCCAGCTCTTTGCTTTTCTTGCTTGAAGCCTTCAGTATGACATCCAGCAACTTGGTTTCTCTTTCTTTCTAACCCTTTCCCATTTTATTTCACCCAGCATGGATTCAGTGGTCATCCAGTGCAACTGTGCACTTGCTATTACCCAGAAATTTCTGCCCCAGACATTTTATCCCCTACCCACTGCCCCAAATCTAGGCAACCAGTCAATCACTTCATCAGTTCTCCTTCTTAGAATCCAACACTTGGTCACAAAATTATGTTGAGTAAATGCGTTAAAAATTCAAGCTCTCTAGCCCTATCTAAGTTCTTGCTATTGCTTAGTAAACTGTTAATTCAGTCCCTTGACTGTTCTCTATTACCTCCCTTAGAGCAAATACATGTAAATTTTTCCATATTTGTTATGTCCTCAATGTCTTCAATACCTATCTCACATATAGCAGATAAACTTAATTCTTTATTTTACTGAGAAATTTGTGTATACTTATCTTTTTCAGCCTCACAACTTTTCTATCTATTTAATTTCCCACCTTTTTTTTAAGACAGGGAGAGAGAAAAAGAGAGGGAAAGAAAGAATTCCAAGCAGGCTCCACATCCAGTGTGGAGCCCAATGTGGGGCTTATTCTCACAACCCTGAAATCATGACCTGAGCCAAAATCAAGAGTCGGACGCTCAACCAACTGGGCCACACAGGTGCCCCTTAATATCCCTTTTTATCCCCAGTCTTGGAAGAAGAAAGATTCTTCCGTTTTAAGGTTGACTGCTTTACCTGTACTTTTGGTCTGTTCCCACATAGACTCTTCTAGGAAGTTGTTCATCAGTATGCTCTCCTGATTTTCCATCTTCCAACTGTCTGTTTTTACTAATTTTTCCTCTCAGCAAATTAACTCTTTGGAGTAATCTTTACTCTAGAAACAAAGCAGAGTAGAACACTTCTATACTTTGATCCTCTACATTTTAATTTACCTGTCTCATCTCCAGCCCTTATTTCTCTAACAATTTCTTGAAAGAGTAGTTTAACTTCATTGCCTTTTCTTAATATAATTCCTGTGGATACTATGCCATGAAGCCTAGGATGATCAGCCTAAGGCATTCACTTCATATCCTCTTTTCTCATCTTGATCCCTGTTTAGTCTTCTGAAAGTGGGAGTCTTGGTCCTTGGTTGTAGAAAGCTCTAATTCATCCTATTGCCCCAGATGCATGGGAGCAGAGAAACTAGAAAATAAGAACACTAGGCAATCCTAAAGAAAAGACCATGAGAGGAATCTCTCAAATGTAGGCTGTTTACAAAGAAGAACTTTTAACATCTCTAAAACCTTTCTACTAGCACTGAGGACCACCTCTATCTTGGCCTTGACACTAAGTGATGGAGGAAATGGGGCCTTGAACTCCCTCTTTAGATAGGACAGTGCCACCAGTTTTAGGGTTGTTCCAAAGCTAACAGGTCCCAGGCAATAATGGATCATTTGCCCAGGAATTCATCTGACTGCTTGATGGCTGACTTGAAATTATACCAGTTTCCAGGGCTTCTACTGGCTAGGCTCATCTATCTGAAAAGTATGGACAAGCAGTCCATCTGAAACTCCAAAGGATATAGGTGTGGGTGAAAAGACTTGTGAAGGCCATACTTCATTATCTTTATTTGTATGTCATCCTTGTACGGGGGCCGTGCTAATTTTCTATGTATTGTTCCAATTTTAGTATATGTATTGCTGAAGTGAGCACATAATTTGTTATCTTTAATTTTATGTGTTTATTAAAGCTCGCATTTTACTCCAGATCCCTTGCCTCTTTTGGGACAACTCTGAGGTGTAACTTATCCTTTGAGTTCTCCTTGCAAACAGGCTATAGCTGGGTTAAATCCTACATGAGGTTAAATTCACCTCATATAACAAACATTCACGCATTACTTTTAGAATTATTTTTAAAAACCCAGGAATTTACCATTTTGGAAAAAAAAAGAATCCTTCCAGATTCTTTCTATACCTGCCTTGATCTTGAGATCTTAGAAGGAATGTAATAGGCTTCATGGCTTATACAATTGGGAACACTGACATAAGACTAAAAGAAAACTGTAAGACATATCATAGGAGCTGCTTCTACTTAGAGCAGATGAGCTAGCATGGCTCATGGGAAATCATTTCATAATTTTGTAAAGTGCAGCTTCCTTCATGGTAAGAGCATTAGCACATCTTTAAATGAATGATGCCAAATCTCTCAAATGTCTATAGCCTTTACCTAAATTTGTGCCTATTACCCAGCCCATGGATATTCTATAATAGATCAAGTGGATTGTCATAACATCTATTATAAACTGTGATAAAAGTTTCAGTAAGCTGTCAGATCTTTTTGAAATCTGAAGAATTTTATGTCTAAAACTAATAGGTTGACATTTGATGAGTTGATAATCAAGACATCAGCATTCATTCAAAACCTTGAAATCAGTACCTCTCACTAAATAATTTTTCAATAGAAAAAAATAAGTTCTATCATAATTTTTTAAAAATGGGGCCTTTGTAAATAAAAGTACACCAAAACACAGCTTAGACAATTGCCGTTCAAACTAAAGATATACCACAACCAAAACTCTTATGCCAGATATATACTGGTAATTAATTTGATAAACATATTTTTGAACAACTCTTCTATTTTCTAACATGCAAGTCTTATCATCATTTAGTAAAAAACAAAAGCCATTACCTTGACTGAATGCAATCACTTGCCTCACTGCTATATTAAAATATGACTCTGTTCTCAGGATTGCTTTGCAGTTATTAGTATGCAGTAAATGGTTTAAACTGTATAAATTTAATTCTAGAGATAAGAAAGGATCTTGAATTGAGTGTGGCTTTACTATTAATATCACCTTCACACTGCCCCCAACTGGGTATGTGGCTTTGGACAATTCATTTCATGATTTCAACTTCATTATTTACCTGCAAAATTTCATTTTTCATGAATTTACATTACTTATCTGCAAAATAGAGGGACTGAATTGGGTATTCTCTAAGCTGCCTTCCCCCTCTGAGTATAAAAACAATTATTAAGTAGAGTATATTTTTATTATCAGTTTGCAGAAAAGGAATGGGAAACAGGTACACAAAATTTAAAGTGCCCCTTGTGATATCATCATGTGTTCAGTATGGAATAGCTTCTTTACAAAGTAGGGAGGCTAACGAAAATTGCTTTGGTACAATTTCAAGTGTCAACAATGATTTAAGAGAAGTGGTTTTAAGCATTATTTCCCTTTATTACTGAGTGAAAGTTCTTCAAATGCTTATTGAGATGACCTAAGAATCAGGAGAGAAAACAGTGAATCACTGATGAAGAAGAAATGAATCTTAAAGAGAATCCTAATAAAGCAGCATTTATCATTCTTTCTTCTTCATTTATCTTCTCAGTCTGAATGAACATTAGCTTCTTTCTTAGTGTGACTGATGTAGCCTTGAGATGGCATTCTTCTCTAACTGAGCATTGTGAATGAAATTCGGGTCCTTATGATGAAACATTATCAACATTTACAGCTTTCTTTTCCCTCTATTATGCTTTGGTCAATATGTAGATAGTACATGATGCATGAATTCATATTTTAGTATGGTATGATAGAGCAAATCAGGAATCTCCACTGGTTTGGTCATTCTGTTCTCTTTAGATTATCATTATTCAGTTTAAACATCACAGAGAAAAAAATTGAGGGACATCCTGGATTTTGGTAAATTGTTTTCTTATCTACATTTGTTTGTGCTTTCCTTTTATTTTCTCTTTGGGTTTTCTTTGCAGCCCTTTTGTCATCCCACCAGTTTTCCTGAGCTCTCTAACGTAAAATGATCTACTAAAGTAATTTGTATTAAGTTTTTTAACACCTTCAATATGTACAATTTTTATTGGTCAAAAATAAAAATTAAACAAATGAAAGAAAGCAAGAATGGTTGAATAGGAGGCTGAGAGTGGTCAGCTCAATAAAATTACCTGGTCTTCCAATGTTTCTAGGTGAAAAACAATATTTAGACCCATTACCCCTTGACTGTAGAGGTGGTTCAGTCTCTGGGAGGTACAGCCCTACAACATTATGAAGTATATACTATAATGATTCCCCCAGTTCTTCCCAAAAGATTCATACAGTTATTTACTCAGGTGATTATATGGTGAGGAAAGGAGAATACCCAGACATTTCTAGGGCTGTTGAACACAGGAGACCTGAAATGTCACCATGACTCCCTTTTAAGGGAGGTGACAAGGTAAGGGGGGCTGGGCAATGAATAGGGTCCTTAACAATATCTAGTTTACAGTGGGTCCTTTGGGTCTGTGGCCTCACTCTGGTCATTACCCCATACCGGAATGTTTAACTGGGATTGACATATTTGACAGTTGAAGAAAACCTTACACTGAGTCCACCTGGGTTTGGTGGTGGTCAAGCCATCATATTAAGTAAGGCCAAGTGGAAACCTCTCATACTGTCCCCCATCACTTTGTCAAAGTAGAATATTGAAAAAAAAATCACAAACTGCTGTATCTAGCCAAGATGCCGCAACAAGGACCAATATTTAAAGAACCAAAAGAACTGAAAGAACTAGAGAGCTAAATGAAATATATGAAACAACAGTTGGCTATCAGGCAAGGAAGGGCAGTGGTTCCCAAAAGAAGGGAAACAAATGTGACAAATGCTACAATCACCCCAGCTTTCTGCCTGGATATGGTTTCCAGGCTGCTGTGCAGAGGTGGAGAACCAGGAGGAGTCCAACTGTCTTTTTGAGTTGAGGAGACAAAGATGGAAGTTAAGGGAAGCCCAGGGTAACTAGAATTCTTAGGTGCCAATACTGGAGAGTGGAGAGCATTGCAGAGAGAGAGCTCCAGTGATTCACAGAGAGCATCCAACAAGTCTTCAGCATGTGAGAAAACTATCTGAGGCTGGGGAAAGAACTACCCAAAAGGAGCAATATACAGAGATCACAAAAAGCTGGGAAGAGATTTTGTTCCCACCAGCCAGACTAGAAAACTTTGTACCTCATGGTCCATAGGGTGGAATCTTCAGGAGAACGTTGCCTAAGGAGTGAGGAAAAATTAATCCTAGACTAAATACTGCTCTGCACCCACCTTAAAAAACTTTAAAGGCAAGTCTCAAGAAGATCAAACTCTTTCCAAGTAACTTAATTGCCTTACAGAACAAAGCTCTAGAATCTGTCATCTATCTATCTATCTATCTATCTATCTATCTATCTATCTATCTATTATCTATCTATCATCTATCATCTATCTATATCCATCTATCTCTATATCTTTAACACATATTGTTTTTAATGATTTAATATGCACCCTTTCCTTAGACTTAAACTTTGCATTTCAAAGAGATGACTACCTCTAATTGTAGATTATCTGGAAATGAGGCATCTTGAGGAGCTGTTCATGCTAAGAGGCTGTGTACTCATACCACATGGAACTCTGGTTATTAAACTTGATAATACCAATCTGTGACCCCATATCAGATCTACTGAATCAGAATTTCCTGGTATTAAAAAAATTAAGCTCATAAGGTGATTTTAATGATTAGCTTTTTATTTTATTTTTTAAATTTTATTTAAATTCAATTAATTAACATATAGTATATTATTAGTTTCAGAGGTAAAGTTCAGTGATTCATCAGTTGCATATATCACCCAGTACTCATTACATCACTTACCTTCCTTAATGCCCATCACGCAGTTACCCCATCCCTATGATTAGCTTTCTTTGAGAACTTTTGATACTCATGACTGTGCATTTTACCCAACATAATGGACACATTTTAGAGTCCTGATTCTCAAACATCCTTGTCTTTCCTCTTGTGAGATTACTCCAGGATGTGACAAGCACTGGGAGCCTTTGCTCACAGAGACCACTCATTAATTGACTTATTCATTCAATATACATTCATTGAACATACTGGGCAAGGCCTTGTGCTGTATTATGAGGATATGAAGAGAAGTAAAATTGATCCCTGATTTTGAAGAGCTCACAGTTTAATGGGAAGTAACATATAGATATAGTTATAAGTTCTATAATACAGCTATGTATAAAAGACATCAATTGAAACATAAAATTTATTTTATTTTTTAAACTTATTTTTAAAATTTGGAATACTTCTAAAAAAGTTTAAATTCATTTTACTGAAAAGAGAGGGAGGTTTTTCTTTCACATTTAGCATAGTTTATAAAGTAATACTTCAATTTCTTTTTATGCTTTTCATGTTGTTGTGAGTAGTTCTGTATAAACCCATGAAATATATTTAAGAGTAGTGTTGCTGGAACTATAACGTAATGAAGTTTCATGTTTTCCCCCAAAATATGGCCAGAGTGGATATGTTTCAAATTGAATTACTCCATAAATAATAGCTGGAATCTTAGATAAGGATTGGCTTCCAAATATTAAAAATTAACATGTGAATAACTTTGATTAAATGTAACATAGTTTGGCAGATTTTGTATGAGCTGGCCATGCTTTTCAAATAGTTACATAACTCCCCTTTATTTTATTTTTTAATTTTTTTCATAACTCCCCTTAAATGCAAGATTTCACAGACAAAAATTTCCACATTATATAAATGACTCAAAGGTGTATGTCTGAGTCATCTAGAGAATGGGAATTCAGCTTTTTCAGATTCCATCTTTACCTAAGGTATGTGGATCATGACATTATCTCCTAGCCAGAGCAATCTTTTGGTATTAATAAGCACTGTGAGCACTCAGAAC